GGAAGGAAAACAGGGTTTCTTCTTTCCCTCTGATGCTTGGCCAGGGAGGCAGCTGTTCTGCTCCCAGTGAAGTCAGCGGGACAAGGGAGAAGTCTAGTTCCCACACAAACCGAGGATGACAGTATTTGTTATTCTTCCTCCCCAGCAGACTCAGGGCTGTGTGGCCCCTGGGGAACCATCATCCTTGCGAGGCTTTTCCACACTAGAATAGAAATCCTTCCAGATGTGGATCCCCAAATCCCACCGCGTACATTCAGCAGCAGCAATCTGCCCACCAATGGCTCCAAAGTCCACCTAACGTCTCTTGTTCCCGGACAGGGCTTCCCGATGAACAGATCCAGAAGGGCAAGGACATCAAGAGCATCTCAGAAATTGTGCAGGATGGGAACAAGTTCAAGGTTACCGTGACCACTGGCTCTAAAGTGTTGCACAACGAGTTCACCATCGGGCAGGAGTGCGAGATGGAGATGCTGACAGGAGAGAAAGTCAAGGTGAGTGATCAGCTCCTCCTCTACCAGGGCTGCAGGGGCTCAGGGACATTAAATTTCCTTTCCAGCCATTCCCCCTGCACTTGGGCCAAAGGGAATGACAAGATCACAGGTGTTAAAGCTGACACAGGGCAAAGACCTGGGTAATTCCCCAGCCTGGTTCTGTCTCTCACGGTTTGCATGCATGATAACGGGAAGGGGCTAATTGCTGAAATTAAGTCTGCAGATGTGACTCCCACTGCCCTTCTCCCTGCAGGTCCTCAGCAAGGCTTTCAGGGACACGTTTCTGAAAATGATAGTCCATTTCTGAGCCACCTTCCTGAGAAACTCAGAGCCCGAGACTCTGAAGTTCCCACCTCCCCTCTTCACTTTTACAAAACACTGGAAGCCAGTGTTTTAATAGCCCGTTTGGAAAAGGGGGATAGAGATGCTTTGGTAAATCCTTCTGACAGCAAAAGGTCTGAAAGATTTGAGGTTGAAAAGGGTTGACTTTCTGTCATGTTGCAACACGAAACATACCCCCACCTTTGTTTTGTGACTTAAAGGTAGTGCAGGAATGTCAGCCAATGACTCATAAACCAATAAATCTCTCCTTTTAAGTCCCAGCAGCTGTTAGCCTCTCTGTTAGCCTTTTCCACTGCTTCTGTTTACACTGGGTGAGATGATTTGGCAAGGTGAGGATTTATTACCCTTGAAATTGGGTCAGCTCCTGTTCCTGGACATTAGTTTCCAATGGTTCATAAAATGTCAAGACAGAGTCACTGGCAAATATTGCCTCTCACCTCTACCTCAGGAGAAGATGATATTGCAGGGACTTTTGAAAGCAGGAGGAATGATCACCCTCCCTGTGAATCGGGCTCTGATAGCCGTACCGGCTGTATCACGATTTTCAGCATCACTGAAATCCCTTGCACATAAACTAGGGGGAAACAGCTGTTAGAAGAGTTTTACCCTCCATAAATCAGCAGCTCAAGGGCAGATGAACATGTCTTACAGATGGATAGACAAATGAACGGACACCTTTTTTTCTGGGTTATTTATTTGAGTAATTTCAATGGTCAGTGATAGCTGCGCTGGGGGTGTTGGTGCTGTCTGTAGCCTTTTTAGACATGCAGCTCCTGGAGGATCAGAGACTCAGCAGATGTGCCCATCCCCCTGAGAGCTTTCCAGCCATGACTGTGTTTCTGAAAGCTCCTTAAATTGTTTCCCACCTTGACCAAGACTCCCATACTGTTGCCTAGCTCCCCATCACCCTAATCCAAGGGAAGCTGCTGCTGCAATGTTCTATAGGTGAGTTGTGGAGAGCAGACAACGCGGCATGCCCTGGCCCAGCTCAGGTGACTCTGCAGTCCTCTTCTTGGAGGTGTGCAGGTCCTCTTGGTCTTGGTGTTTGCATGAGGATCTGCCCCAAGGAGCATCAGGGCTGCATGGAGGCACCAGCATTGGCAGGGTGAAAAGCCTTCCTTCTCCCTGAAAACTCATGTTGGTGTGATGCCAAGGATCCCTGCTCTGGCATCTACCAGTGCAGAAGCCATGAGTGATTCTCCATTTGGAGGAGAGAGAGGTAGATATGGCAGCAAAATTGCACTCCTGTAGAGCCCAAAGTAAACATCCATACCCTTGCTGTGCTGTAGTCACCGCCAGCACAACCCTCTCTTCTCCTCCTCCCAGGAAAGCTCCAAGGGAGCAGCTTGCTCCAAACAGCTTGCAGAGGGGACAGTGGCAACTCAGCACAGAAGGGGAAAGACAAAATGCAGAGGTTGATATGGTCTGCAGTGATAACATGAATGCCTCTGTCTCCTCCCTTCTCTACCAGGCTGTTGTTCAGCTGGAGGGTAACAACAGACTGGTTACAACCCTGAAAGGGCTGAAATCCATCACTGAACTCAACGGAGACACCATCACCCATGTAAGTGCAGAAGAGAGGGGCAATGGATGGAGTAACAGTGCCTACGGCTGCCTTCAGGGTTTTGGCCTTACAAAGCCTACAGAGATGCTGGGGACCTTAGAGAGGTGCTGGAGACAAGCACATGTTCGCACTCAGGCTCTGTAGCCAAAGCTGGTCAGTTGGCCAGGCACTGAAGACAGTTTTTCTTTATAGTCTGATCCAAAAAGTATTCTTTGAGACCCCAGTAGGCATTTCTGATCAAAATTTCATGCAATGAGGACATGTTCTCACCCATCCAGATGTAAATATTTGTGGCTGGGCCTGGCACTTTTAAAGAAGAGAGGTGCAGCACACTGATCCCAGCTGAGTGATGTCAAATTATCCCTACTTGCTTTGGGGTATTCATGAAGAAATCCAAAGCTTTAATAATTCAATTTATTGGAAATAGACTGGGGACCAGTCCTGTTTTGATTTGCAAGACCAGATCCTTTCCAAGTAGAGTCTGGAGCCAAACACCATGAAAAGCTAACGTTTTCCATTTGTTTTTCAGACAATGACCATGGGAGACCTCACCTACAAGAGAATCAGCAAGAGAATCTAGAGACCCTGCACACGCCAATCATTTTACCGTGTAAAATGTGTCTATTAAAGTAAAATTTGTATTAAAGGCCTCTTCATCATTATCATCAGCCTCTTCGCTGTTGCTATAAAGAGATGCAAGCCTCCAAAACTCAGGCAATAGACTGAGCCGAGGCTGTGCTGATGTTGGTGAAGGGAGCCGGGCTAGGGCGCAGGCTCGGAGCCTCTGAGATGTGCTCCATGCTGATGAGCACTATTCCAGCCCCTTCCTGGGGACAGGTGCCAGCATCCTGCTGGGGATGTCCTAGTGAGTCGCGCACCCACGGCTGCCCTGGCTGGGTGGATGGAGGAGCACTGGGCAGGGAAAGGGCTCTGTTCCTTTTCCTTACAAACATGGCCAAAGTGACCACAAGGTGACTGGCAGGGCCAAAGGATGGGGAGGTTTAGGTGGGCGCAAAAGAATGCCAGTGGTCCTGCCCGGAAAGTTGCCTTGGGGAACCGACTGTTGTGGGGGCAGTTCAGGTGTCCCAACTGCCATCCCCATCCTCACACCTCTGCAAAAGGATCCAGCCCTACAGGCTCTGGCCACTCCATCCCCATCTCCTCCCCATCCCTCCCCACCAGCAAGAGGGCCCTGGACAGCTTGCAGGTACCCAGTGTGTGTTTCATCCTAAACTGCACCTGATAAATTGGGTTGAACTGGAATTGAACTCTCCTCCCAGGGTGAAACACAGGTTTTCTCTCCTGGCAGGAGATGGGCACTGGCTGTTCACACTGTAGACACAGAAGGAACACCACAGCCATCTCCCACGCTCTTGCTTGGCATTGCAGGCTGGATAGAGATGTGGTTTTCAGACACACAGGAGAGGAAACTCTTCCTTCTTAGCTGCCTTTTCCAAGCCCTGTGCTGGGAAAATCGTCACTGGGAAATGGGTGTATTGCTGGTGTGATATACCTAGCCGGGATAATGTTCTCACAACCGCTCACAGCTGATCAGGATGTTAGGAAAACATCACCAGTGCCTCCTCACCTCCTTCTGCAAACCCCAATACGTGCCACTAAAGGACCAATTTGTCCTCATGTGCATCTCTCCCATGACTCCTGTCTCCTCAGGGAAGGCTTTCATGTTACAGGTCGACACTGATCATCATGCTAGGAACTGAACCAATATGGGTTGTCACACTAGGTGTCAGATGGGCACCTCATGGACAAATGGAAAGGCCTAGCTCAACAGCTCCTAAAAAGCAGATGTTGGTCTCCAGTGAACTCATCGTAGATGTGGAGGAACACAAGCAAAATCACTGAGAAATGTCAAAGAGGAAAAGCCCTGGTTTTGTTTTCTTGTTATTCTGTTGAGGAGCAGGTAGGGCATTCTTGAACCACCCCTTTTCATGTCTTGGCTGCCACTGAAGGTATGGAGCAAACCAGTTGGATTTTGAGGTAGATGGGCAAAGGGCAAAGACCTTTTTTTTTATTTAGAAATCCAAGCATTGCCTTTAGACTTTTCATTGGCTCCGTTGGCTGCCCACTGGCAGCTGATCCATTGACTATCCCTTTTTGCTCAGTGCAAAACTGATTAAGCACCTGTCTAGGCTGAAAGGCAGGTCCTGAAAGGCACCAGAAAGCCCAGCTCACCCTGAAGGTGAGCAAAGGTGGATCCCCTCCCTGGAAACTGCTTGTTCAGTTAGAGCAATCCCCACAGCCAGTGCACCACACCAGTGCAACTGGCTTGCGGCACAGAATCATCTCATATCCATCTGCTGCCATCACTGCAGACGTTTTCTGATTTTTAATTAAGGAGACTAATTTACCATAACTAATTTATCCTGCTGTATGAACTCCACTTAATCTCACTTGCAAAGTTCCCACAGTTTGATGTTGTACCTGTCTCGGCTGCAGAATCATTTTTCATCAGTTTTTCATTAGAAAAAATGCCACTTTACACAAAACACCATCTGCGGGTCTTATTCAGTTTGTACTCAATGCCCACGACACTTTTTGGAACCAGTTTCTCACTTCTACCATCTCTTGGTCAACCACTCATGGACATCATTGGAAAGAAATGATGATCACAAGGAAGGGACGGGAAAAAAACACTTAGGAAAGAATAAATTAAAATTTAACCAAGGACTTCAGGATCAGGACTTGTGTAGAGATAAACAGGCTTCCAATAAGAATGTAAATAATTTTATAACAGGTTTTTTTGCTTTGATTTTTAATGCTAGTGGTAGAAAAAGGATGTTGTTTCTGCCAAGATCTCCTCTGCTTTGAGCCCTCAGAAGGTTTTTCAGGACTCTCCCCCAGCGGGTCCATGCTGTCAGACTGGTGCCACTGGAAACAATCCTTATGGATATATCACATTCCTATATCACATTCCCCATGTTTGGAGGTGCCACAGGCGATGTTATCCCACAGGCGTGAATTTGTGTCAAGCTTGGAGTTTATTCCTTCTTGTGGAAGAGGCTTGGTGAGGTCTCATTGCTGGGTTCAGGCATGACTTGAATCTTTTGGTTTTTGAGGGCAGCTTCCCTCATCTTGTAATACATCAACTCATTCTGCTGGAACATGCGCAGCTCCATCTCCGTCTGGACACGCATGACCTGAGGGACACAGCAGGTTATAAAACCTGTGACACAGGGGATCTTGAAGCAAGTGAATAAAGCACTGCCTAAAAATGGGGACCACATTTCAGGGATGTCCTGGGTCATGTAATGACTGATGCAATTTAATCTACATGTCCCACCAGCAGGACCAAAGCTGACTGGACGCAGATATCCAGTTACTTTCTCAAACCTGGTTACCTGTGTACTGTGAAGGCGAAGAAGGCACCAGCCCTTCCTGCACCCAGCTCTTCTGCAGGCTGCTGGGAAGCCTCATGCTCCCAAACCTGATGCAGGACCTAGAGCCAGGGAGCGAGTGTACTTCCCATTCACACTCTGGGCCTGAGCCTTGGTGTCACCCATCACCGGGGTGGGGGTCACCTCATGTAGGAGGAAGCAGGAGAGGAGGAGGGGGATGCTCGGTCCCGCTGTGGCCACATCACGGTTGCACCCCCTGCATCCCAGGATTCACCGTGAGAAAAGTCATTCCTAGCGCTGCATTATGGCAGAGGCTCAGAAGGGATTTTAGGAAATCTTTTTACACCTGTCTGTGAGTTTATTCAACCCTTGGTTTAGGAGCACAGAGATAAGTATATGCCATATATCCACTATTTTCCTCCTGAAGTAAGTGGGAAGGGAGATACAGAAATGGAGGTGCTGGGGTCTCGCCCTCTGCTATGTATAGGGGAACAGTCAACAGACAGGTTGGCTTTAGGTACTAGGTACTCATTTTTCTGATGATATAAAATTGCACTAATAAAGGTTATAGCTCTGCTATAATGGGGACTAAGACATCAATAAAGGATTTCATTTGGTATCATGTAATTTTTTTGGCTAATAAAGGAGAATGTTGTAAAGCCAACAGGTCACATCAGGTGAGTTAAAGGCTAAAGAAATGATAGCTGCAATTGTAAATAGTTTGTCACAGCTGAGCAGATGTAATTCCCTGGAATCTGCAGCTCTTGGCCCTAACCTAGGAAATACACCTGTCAGTCATTTGAGGAAAAAATACATTGCAGCTTAGAAGGACTTAGGAGTGGTAAATAAAGAAGAATGGACACCGATAAAGAAAATCAGTTGGTAAACAGGGAACAGCCACCATATATAACTTTATATAGTCGAATTGTAATGCCATCCATCCAAGAGCAGAGAAATCAGTCTGTTTGAAGAATGGGAGACTCTGTCCTTGGGCACAGCAGTTTCAAAGAAGATTCAGGGGCTCAGTGGCCATTTTTAATGTATGTCCTGGTGGAGGATAAAAGCTATTTTTCAGAGATGAAATTTCCCATAGGAAGGGACATGCGTTTCCCAGCAGACTGTATCATAATCTAGAGAAAACCACAGCACTAGTAAGAAGCAGTCAGTACTTGATGCATCTCTCAGCTCTTACAGATTGGGTTGTTTCTACAGCCTGAATGTAATTTTGCCCAGACAGACAGCAGAGACAACACAGGAGATGACACCTACCTCCAGGTCTTTGGTAATTGGGTGGGAAGGTCCATGGGTTATCAGGAGAATGGCATAGGCTTTACAGATCAAGCCGTGCCCGGCTTCAATGAGACCGGCATGCCAGTGAGTCACTCCTGCCCGCATCACGGCCATCCCCAGCTGTGCGTTGTTGGGATGGTATATTTTCCTGGAAAAACATTGAGTAATTTTAGTTCAGGAAAGATCTGGCTTCCCAAATGTTTGTCAGTGACGTGATATGTTTGCCAAAGAGCAGACTGTTTACTCAAGTGAAGAGCCTATTGCGTTCGGTGCCACTGCAATGTGCAGCCCTGCTTAGAAAGGGGCAGGCATGAGTTACACGAGGACACAAGTTATACGAGGACATGAGTTGTTGTGAAAGAGGATGAATGACCTGCGAATGGGGAAAGTTGGATACCTGGGTTGGAGAATGCTGAGCTCTGTCATTCTACATTATTTTGGCACAAACAAAACCCAGATCTGACCCTACAGCCCAGACAGCACCAATTTAACTTCAGACACTTAATGAAGTGCCTAAATTGAGAATGCAACAACCACCAGCTTCTCATTCAAAGTGGGGAGAGAATTAGGGGGTTCCAGAAACTCCAGAAATGTTCATCTCATCCGCTGGAGATGCATCCTTGCCTCCAGGAACGGTGAGATCACTCCCCTACAGTCCGTACCCCAGGTGGGCAAGATGAATCCTGGCCTCTACATCCAACTTTAGAAGCACAGGCAGAGTTAGAAGCTGCTTGTATTTACCTGAAAACCTGTCATCAAGGGCTTAGTGGGCATATTGAATTGGCAGATCTTAAAGCAAGGAAGAAAATTACTGCAGTCCTCACTCTGGACTGAAAAACTGAGGAACAGGGAGGGGAAGCAATGTCCTCTGTGTCATTCAGTTAGCTCAGTGCCAGGGCTGGGACACGAAGTGGCTTGTCAGGCTTGCAAGCCAGGGAGGTGACTCTGTCACCCCTGTGAAAAAGAACAAAATATCACAGGCCTTTTAGGGTAGAACTGACCAAAAAGACAAGTAATGGGTATGAGATACTCTCAGGAGGAGGGTGAACAAGATGGTGAAATAGGCTTTTCTCTCTTCTCTGTGGTTTGCATTACTTTTTAATTTTTTTTTTTTTTATTTTTTTTTTTGCTATTTATCAGTCCTGTAGTAAAACCTTGGTAATAATAAAGTACATCACTTTTACTGTGAGATCTGTCCTGGATCTATGTGAACTAAGCCTGAATTTCTTTATTCTCACTGAGCTTTTACCACAGGACCTGTGCATGCTAATTAGCCAAGACAAAATGTATTATTCAATGTATTATTCAAGAGTGAAGGGATATCTTGAGTGACAGCCATTTGACACAGTTTCTCTTTTCTCTGCAACTTCCCCTTCCTGCAGGGCGCAGGGGAACAGACCGTCTCCTGCAGTGACAGCCTCTCTGTCCCGCACCCAGGCTCTGTGTCTTGCTACCAGGGCAGCCCTGAGATGCTTCTGAGACAAAACAAAGAGGCTAATGAAAGAGGTACCCAAACCATTTGCCGGTCACAGTTTAGTAAATCAAGGTGTTTGGGAGCTCTTGTGCACTTAGGAAGGGGTCCCTCTCTCTCTGGTGATATAATCAGGTCCCAATCTGAATGTCAGCACTGCTGCCCTGATGGGAGCAGATAAGAAAATTATTCTATAACACACTGGCTAACATTGATTAACCACAGAGAGCTGCCAAAAATAAGGAGCAGACATACAGGTAGCCGTCCACCATCCTCTTGGCGTAGTCAGCTGCTTCCTCAAACATCTGGAGGTAAGAGAGCACCTCGGAGGCAATGCTGAGGATCCTCAGGAGGTAGATGTTCGTGTCCCCCAGCACAGGCTCCTGTTTCTTCAGGCACTCGCGGCACATCTTCACGACCTGCGCCCCGGGGAAGCAGGGAGAGGAAGGGAAAGTCAGAGCACCTTTGGCCCCGAAGCTGCCACACCAAAGCCCTGTGGGTCGCATGGTCCATACCAGTCCTAGAAGCCAAGTCAGCCTCCATGAAGGTTGAGGAAGATAGGATATGCTTTTATTTGTTGAAAAACATCAGTCTAGCAAAATGATTCGTGCTCAAATGTTCCTCTCCCAGGGTTACATTCATAAAACTCGTGAGGAAAAAGTGATGTCTACTGTTCAGGAGAAAAAAGGCCCCGGGAGGTTGGGTTTTGTCAGAGACCAAGTGCCTCTTATTCCCCAATGCCATCCACCCAACCTCCTACAGGCACTTGGTGCAATGAATGCTCTTAATGACCCCATGGGGCTGGGGACACGCAGCGGCACTGTCCCATGCCTGTCTGCTCAGCTGCATCACAGCTGCACCGAGCCCTGACCCAATGTCCAGATCTCTGCTCTGGGGGACTTCAGTGTTTTCCCAAAGTAAGTTCAAACCCAGAGGCTGTTGCTCAACCTGGAGTGTTTTCCTGAAGCTGTTATACTCTGAAGAGAACAATTAAATATTTCCTGGGTCAGCAAAAGAAGGAGAAAGGAAGAAGTGACTTAAGCTCTCTCACCCTTTGCCCCTGTGGCCTGTGCTCCCCGTGGGACGCGGATCTCCCACACCACACACCCACCCTCAGCACCCAACAAATGAGCAACGTGCAGGAGCCAGGAGGTGAAGAGGAGATCAACACAGGCAAACATAGCCCACAGCTTGATGTGGCAAGTCTCCTGATGGTCCTGTCCCTCTCCCAGACTCACCATCCTCCTTTTTATGAGGCTACTTGGCAGAGCTGATTCATTACTCTTGCCCTGTAACTCATGCTTTTCACCTAGGAGGCCCCTGGTTCAACACCTCTGTTAATTGGAGGTGCTGGAAGTCACTTGAACCTTCTTGTATCATCACTACAAGAGAAATCAGTCTGGGATGTTGTCTCAGACGTGGTCATGCTTTACATAGGGCAAAAACCAGTGTCAGCTTTTGCAATCTGAGCTGCCAAGAGGCCAGGAAGCACATGGGGATATTCAGGTTACAGCAATGGGGCTTTATTTCATCCTTAAATCATTGACGTAGAGAGGGACAAGACCTGCTTTCCCTGGCATTGCATATACAGCAAGAGAGCAAAAGTGCCAGGACTCACTTCGTGGTAAAGTCCCTCCATGCGGGCCTTGTTGATCTTCTCCAGCGTGTCCTTGGAGAACTGGATGACCTCCTTCACTGTCTCTGCAGAGGGCTGTGGACAATGGTAGGAAAACTGGTGAGAAAAATGCACTGCCTGACGCATGCCAAAATACCCTGGTTGAAGGGATGCTTGTTCCTCACTCTGGGAACCCAAATCAGCTCAGCGAGATGCTTCCCACATCACTCGCTACCTTCCCACCGCTGGCTGTATATCCCAGTATGCCTCCTCAGACCTGCCCAAGACTGGGCTGAAATAGTCCCGCTACCAAACAGAGAGGTGAAGCTCCTGCTGACTTCAGCAAGAGTGTTGCGCATGAGGGTCACGGCCATGTACATCTGGCATGCATAACTGCGTTCCTCGACTCTTCCCTCCACTTCTCTCCTCTGGAAAAGTTACAGAATTGACCCTGCAACTGGAAAGTCTCACGAAACACCAAAGAGGCTGTGAAAGCTACTGGGTGGCGTGTATCAGGTCCTCCTAGTGCAGCTGCTTGAGAGAAATGAGGGTCTCGAATGAGAGATGGGTGGAATAAGGATAGGAAAGATCACTAACCTTTACCTGCTCTGAGAAATGCTGTCATTAGGTCCAAACACCATTTAGATCATTGACCTCAGATTTCAGATGCATCCAGAGTGAAATGTGTTTTCCCACACACCTCAAAGAAGTTTGGATTTCACCGTGTATTTGAAGGCATGATGCACATCTAGGCATACCTGACAAAACACTAACCAAGTCCTAATTAGCTGCCTCCTTGCCCTTCATTTAATGCTGAGTTATAACATTATGATATCCACCACCATTATTCATCTTCCGCTTTTCTGAGCCTTTCAAATTTGCATTTTCAAACTATTCCAGCTATCACAACCTTCCTTTTCATAAATGGGAAATCTGAAATCAGCCCACAATCCCCTGACTTCAGGACCCTGCAGGAAGAGCCTGGTCTGGAGACACACGATAGAGCCAGAGCACAGGCATGTGCCCAGCAGCCAGGAAGGACCTCTGGGTACGGATCAAAAGCAGAGACCCAACATTGCAACAAAGGACGCAAAGATTTGGAGTCAGGCCCATGGGACTGTTCCGTTCGTTTTTTCCCACACCTGGTCAACCAGATTTTTGAGGAATCTGTGAAATTCAGCTAGTTGGGAAAAGCTCTTGAAAGTTTAGTATGGAAGGAAAACCAGTAGTTTTTCAGAGCCATATACCCCCCATCTATTTATGGATACATATGTATGTGTTATGATTTATTATTCTATATTATTAGACTGAAGCTATCGTAGCTAATCAGATTTTGGCAGCTGTTTGAGCAGCACGCAGGGTGTCCTAGTGCGCAGAGCACATTCAAAGGCAATGCTAATGTCAGTCCAAATCACATCGCTATGCTGTCTGAGTAAAGGATCCCAGAATAGGTACTTTAAACAGCACTTCCACAGCGGCTTTGTCTAATAAAAAACCTCTCTTGCATTTACGAGACCCCTGAGCCTGTTGCCATTATAAACAATGGGAACTTTGCTACTATTTGGAAGGGGTGAAGGACTGGAGGTCAGAGCGGCTGTTGAGGATGTAAGCTGTCAATCTTCATATATTCATAGCACTTTTTCCACGCAGCTGTGAGCATTGCCGCTCTCAGGCAAGTGAGCCTGAATTCAGAAAATGCGATACAGCTGGCGGCGAGCAGGCGTGCTCTGCGGGTGAGGTCAGTCTGGATACTTATTGTCTGTGGATGGAGTGTATTTTTAATAGCTGAAATCATGCACCTTGCATAGTTACAGGCTTTTCCTATACAAGCACTTTAGACTGTGGAGGACATTTACCCAAAAGTGCACGTCTTCCCGCTGCGTGCTGCAGAGCACCTCTAATGCTCATGAAAAGGGGATGGTGCATCTCACTGCTTGGTCAAGGCTTGATAGCAGGTGTTGAATCAGAGCTGAGATTTTTTTATGCCATCCACTGGAGGAGGTGTTCAAAAATACTTCTAGAGAAAGTCAGGTGAAAATGCTTGTGCATCAGAGGACTGAGCTTTGGGATAGCTTTACATTAGAAGCGGGGAGTTTCAGTAGTCAGGATTAGCTTTAAGATGAAGCTTGATAATTTAGTAATGGGATTATATAGCAGGGTCTTTAGCACTAGTAGGGAGGCCAACAAGCAAAGGGTTTCTTCTAGTCCCGTGTCCTGCTTCCCATGGGAGCTCCCTGCTATCAGTTTGACCCTGTTTCTCCAAACCTTGCTCAAGGAGAGACTTTTGCTCTGCAATATCCAGACTTTCCTGATCGCCACCTGTATGAAAGAAGAGTCACAGGACTGAACTCAGCTTTCTGGTAACTGTGCTGAGCTGGAGGCTGAGGGTTTTGTACTCGTTCCCAGGAAGGTGCAGCTCTGTGGGCCTCTCGTGGTGACAGTGCTGGTCTAAGAGGTCATGGTTCCTCATCACACCTTTGCTTTTTGGTCCTGCTCCATATCAGCCCCCAAGCTGTACTGTCTGGTTTGTTACATGACTGTTCAATAGTGCAGATCAATGAGTTGATAATACATTAAAATGCTCTTGTCCTGCCTTGCCTTGCCTTCCCTTGCCTTATACACTTTGTAAAGCTTGCAGGAGTAGAAACCCCCTAAGCTAACACTGCCACAGAGGATAAAAAATATGAGAAATTATATCTTTGGGCAGAGGAACCAAGAAGAAACTCTTATAGCTACCAGCATGCTCATACACTGGAGCCGCTGGCCAAGCAACACATCCCACTGCCGACAGCAAGACACAGCCTTACACTCTCCCACTTGATGACTTGTGAGACCTCCAAGGAAAACACAGATTACTTAAAAATGAACAGTCAAACATGTTAATTCTTCAGTCAGTCTGCCCACAGCAACCATGCACAAACGTCAAGTGATGGTACAAACTCCCTGTAACAGGCCTTTGCAAGGAGGGACTGGAAGTTCAGGCTTCCCACCTTCCTGGAGCCAATGTGATGGTACACGTTTTACAAACAATACAGCTTCAGCAGCGCTGGTTAGTCCTGTCACCATGAATCACCTGCAACACATTTTCCCTTCTGCTGTTCAAAACTTTGATTCCCTTTCAGTTGCTCCAAAAAAAATCACAATCTAAATGCCAGTATTTTCCTCAGATCTAGATCTAATTTTCCAATATTTTACCATTCTGCCTGTTGATGGACTTTTAGGTTAGAGTTAAAGGCAACTTTTGTGGCCTTTTTAAAATTAAAATCTGCACGTATTTTGCATAATAGGGATTAAACTGGTCTTCCATGGTGGGCTTGAATTGGTGTTGTGCTCAATCAAGGTTCATTTCTGTTCTCATTTTTTACATTGGCACTAGTCAGGCTTCTGCCAAAATCTGACTCTGTTGCTACCATGAGCACCCCTGGGCAGAGGAGCTGCAGTCGCAGAGACACACAGATGCCTTTGGTGGAGGAGACACAGCCACCTCTGGGTTTGGGCACAGCAGGACAAACCATACCTTGCCTTCCCCCTGCTTCACCGCCAGCATCAGGTCGTCCTTGATCTGTTTCTTGCAATGCTCGCAGGTGCAGTCGAAGTAATACTGCTTCTTCAGCTGCTTCCGCCGCTCCTCACTCACGTTGAGGAAATCCACGTAGGATACGGTCAGTTCGTCCCCTGGAGAAATCTTGGTCAGTGCCCGTAGCTCAATCCTGAGTGCAAAGGAGATGAGATGTGGACTTGGAGAAGCGGCAGAAGCAAAGGTGCAGCCATAGAGCCATCAGAGACAAATCCTGCGACCTGCCCTTGCCTTGCAGAGGTGAGCCCTTGCCCTAAGGTACTGCTTTAGCTCTTCAGGGAGGCAATGCAGAGATGGGCCACAGTCTGGTTAACTGAATACAGAGTAAAAACATGGTCACACCAGTTTCTCCTGCCCCTCTGCAAGTCCACGGCAGGGACACGTAAGGCTCTGAGCTACAAACATTACAGCTCCATTACTTTATCCGGATAGGGGCTGAACCCAGACATAAACTTTTATTATGTTGCAGAAGATCTCATCAGAAGAAAAGTCTGGGATCAGAAATACCCAACAAGCCTTGCAAAATGCTGAGTTTGTACTTTGGGTCTTTTTTTAATACTGCTTTGCATGCTACCCGCACATCCCTGGCTAGACTCCCAGATCCCAAGCTGTGCTGCTTTCAGTATCATTTTCACTCTGAAAAGTTAAGACAAATTCCCTCTGGGTGCTGGGTAAGAGATGCCCTCACCCTGTTCATGCATCTCTACATAAAGGCTTAGAAACAATTCTCTGGAAATAGTCTATTTTTTATATAGCTCATTTGATCTGATATTGCTAATATTAAACACAACGAAATCGCCAGTCTCTGTTACTAAACCAAAATCCGCAGCAAATCCTCAATGACACACTTTTGGAAAGCCAGATCTTTGCACCTGCCTTTGTCTTATGTCTTTCCCTGCAAAAGGTCGTAAATAACGTGGACGCTCAAAAATATTCCCTTGCTGTTTCACTCCACAAGTTAAATCTTCCAGTCACTCTGGGCCACCTCTCAGTCACGGGGGCTGCACAGTCACAACCGGCTGAAGAATTTGGCCAGAGTGTGAAAAACCTCCATCAAATACCAATTGCAAGGTGGTGCTTCTGTACCTGTCTACTCCTCCAGCTGCTAGTGTCTCTACCCATGGTTAGAAACAACTCACTTGAGACCAGTGACCTTGGGCTCTCTGCTCAGACCAGGCCAGTTACTTGGTTAAACATATTTTTGCAGCTAGGCATACTTACGGGTTATCAAAATGAAGCCAGTGCCATGGTCTGAGCTCCCACCCTACCGTCGCACCACTGTGGTACATCAGTGCTGGGACTCCCTCACCTTGATCATCCTCCTGCAGAGCTCAGCGGCGTGTTTGATGCACATGCCTGCTACGAGACAGACCTGGGAGGGACCTGCTGGCTCTCACCTGAACACGAGGGGCTTTAGATGGGACCCAATGAAGGTCTCACTAAAGGCATAGGTGGCAGAGCACCCAAAGGTCTCACCAGGTGCATTAGAAGTAAGTCTTTTGGGGAGGACATGACTTTTCTGACATGACTTTTTCTGTGCAATCGTATTTCTGCAAAGGGATTGCAATGCCCTTGTAATTCCCTTGTAATTGCCTTGTAATTTCCATTACAAGCTCTCAGCACCAAGGGCGTAGCTCTGAGCCTTTCAGCTGTGTTAAAGCTGCTGTGAAAACTACTCCACGAGGCTGGTCTTGACCTTCTCTGGGTGTTAGAACACATCATCAGCACATTTCATACAAAATTTATCACTTAAGCATGCCATCGTCATGAAGGGCAGCTGTTAGTTATGGCACAACCATGGAAAAATGCCAGCCAGAGAAAGGTGCAACACGCTACTCCAGGAGAAAGTGTGTGAAAAAGAGCAATTCCCATCAGAAAGGTTTACACATATAAACGTTCCTGTTCAGACTTAAGGGGATCCTCGTTAAAGTGAGTCATGCAACCAGAGAAGCAAAATCAAGCCTCTGACTTTTATGATGCCCCTGATAGCCTAAGCGCCGTAGGTATATTTTAAGCAGCCATCCCTTGTGTGGAGGGGATTGATAGCGGTTGGGATAAGCCTGGAAACACATGGCGTATTTTAAATGCTATAGTTAAAGAGACACTGTCAGCTGAAAGCACCCCACTGAACTTGTCCCGTGCTCTTTCCCCAGCATCTGCCCCAAGCACCAAGGACCTTGAAACGCACAGGCACAGTGCGTGCCCAACAGCTCAAAACTCAAATTGCCCCAAAATAGCACCTCTAAACAGAAGTGAAACTCATTTGCCCATTTTTATGGTCCTATCTATAATGCACCGAGTAAGCATCAATGGTGAAGAAGAGGTCTTCAAAAGCATTTCACGTCTTATTTGAGGAAATTGTGTGTTTGCTTGAAATTAAAGTTTAAAGACAACAGTGTCCCTTTAACAGGACTGACTATAATATACCAAGCTTAGTGAGCTAAGCAGAGAACTTTTCTTTTTTTTTGCATACATTTTAGTGATTTCTTTAGTTTGGATCAGGTAACAGTGGCATCATTAAAAGGTAAAACATTAATCATGTATTATGATAAAAAAGGATGAAACCTACATCTTATGGTATTGCTTCTGTAGTCAACACATTCAACGGGCACTGTTTGTTGCAGAAGAAACGTAGACTATTTAGTATGTCAGTAATGCAATCATTTCTCATCTCCTAACACGCAAGGTTTTATTTTGGGCTGTACAAGATTAGCGAGACCTTGCTCTGACTTTCATGCTCTTGCTGTAGTCAGGGGAGGAGAAATGAGAAGTGGAGAAGGGAAATACTGACAGGGAGGAAGCCAAGGGAGAGGGTGGGAAGGCAGGGAGGGAATTCGCTGTGAGGGAGACAGTCACAGTATTGCCACTATCATTTTAATTTGCTACAAAATGCAGAGTTAAGTGAGGTTTGGGTTTAGTGGGGCTTTACATGGGTGAGGAGTTCAGAAAACAAGGAAAGTGAAATTTTCTGCAAACAGAAGGAGCCCCTCGGGGCTGTTTGCAGCTTTTCCATTAAACACGGGGCATGAGGGGTACAGGGCAAGGGGAAGGACGATGCTTTCAAGACCGACCCACCTCATCTGTGTGTGGAACATTGATCTTACAGCCTCATGACTGAAAGACAAAACAAACATCTGCAGTTTACACAGGTACAAGCACAACGAAAAAAAACCACGGGTACATGGTGTAGAGCATCGGGACATCATCCTGACAGGGGACAAGGGGGTTCCCAGCGCCTGGCTCATGTCTCACTGCATGTAGAGCTGTTGCTATGCAGCAGCTGTAACTGAATCACCCATCGCTGGGCCACAACAGCGGATTTGGGGGAGAGCTGTTCTGGAATTGTGATTTTAGGAGCGGTCTCGGCCAGGGGATGAGGAAAACCTGCCAACCAGACATTTGGCAGGTGCAATAGGGTTAGTTATCCTGCACAGAAGTATCTCCACCAACACCAGTAGCCATGCTCTCTAAAACATCGCTTGAAATGGAAATCAGGCTGGGATATCAGCAACAAGGACTGTGCTCTGTGTGATGAGATTTGTGGGTCCTCAAGTTTGGTATTGTGCCCTGAGCACTGATGGAGAGCTCAGTTCCCACAACAGGGGCTGATCACCAGGTTTCCGCAGAAAGACAAGAAACCTTCATAATTTACCTGGCCAATTGTACAACATAACCAGATGGTCAAGGTTTAAAGTCAGTAACAGGATACATGTGGGCACTTCAACAAGCTGCCAGGCAAACAAAATGCCATTCCTCTACTTACCACCCAGAAACTCAGACTTTGGGGTTTCTATCACTGCTAGTTACCTCCTCCACTTCCCAGGCTGGTTGGAGAGGCTCTCCGTCATCCCACTGTGGATCTGATCCAGAGCAACTCGATATCAGAGCACAGACTCCAATCTGACTCTGGATCAGACCCTATTTCCCACCAAGGTAACCATCCTAATGCAGTTTCGTTTTCTCTTTGCTTGTTTACCATCTGGTTGATAAATGCTGGTATAGTTTTGTCAGGTAAAACCAGCAGCGAGAACTGGAGTGCACAAGCAATGTGTTAGTTAAAGAAGGGGAAGCTGGGGGTTAACCTATAGCACTAAAATTTGCTGAACATGGAAATTTATAAAATCTTAAGACTGAGTGGAAAATTTGGATGAAATACTATAGCTGTGCAGTTTTTGGCAAGCAGTTTCCCACAATTAATGTCTTGCACACGATGCAACTTGCTGGATCAGCAGCAGTTTATACCTCTTCTGGCCTGGGAGGAGGCTGGGAAGGGCAGAGCATCCCTCCCACGGGCTGCCCTGAGCACTGAGAGCCGCAGCCTCCACTCCCAGCTCTGCTGAAACGTCCCTGCGTTTCCCACTTCATCGCTTTCCATCTCACAGGTCCCACAGAAGTTTTCTTACAGCCTTTGGGTGGGAATGGGGAATGCACAGCAGCTTAGGGCATCCTGCACTTGCACGTGACTCGGTTTGTGGATAACAGTCACTAATGTCATTAAGATCCCATTGCTAAGGAGTTAATCAGTGATTAATAGAGATGGTACGCTCTCACAAAAATGAGGGTTGTGTTAGGAATGGTTATAAACACATCAGCAGATAGTGATACACAGCTGATTGCAAGCTTCAGTTATGAGAAACTCTTGGGCTGTGGACTCAGTATAATCTTTAATAATTTATTAACCGTAATTGTTCCTTAACTATTTATAAATAAAGCCCTAATATAAGGGGTGATCTAGGCAGCTACTTAGTACTTCATCTGCTTATTTTGAGTCTCATTTCAAAACTCACAGAAACCAGGGAAAAATTATTTGCTGGTTCACTGGATTTGGGGTCAAATCTTGTGTATTTGTTTAGTGCATCAGACAATATTTTTTAAAATAACAATAATGAGAGAGAAAACAGCTCCTCCTCAGAAAGAAAATCCTGATTTGTTTGTTTCTGAGCTAGAGAAGGAAATGAGGATGAATAGATTTTCTGGGGCAGGGATCTGACACTGTGGGGTTAGCAGAGTCTGCTGAGTTGCCCGCTGTGCCTGAAGAAAGAAATATCCACTCACTTGCCATTGTTGAAGATGACGGTACAGTTGGGCCAGCAGTCATGGTTGGCCTGGCAGAGGTTGGGGAAGATTCCCACACCAACAGCCTGCAGTCCTCTTTGGTCACTGAGGGTAAAGCCGTTGCAGCTGATCTAGTCCCAAAACATAGGCAGGAAGAAGCGTTAAGGGAGAAAAAGCTGAACTCAGGTACATCCAGGATTTCTCATTTCCCACTGATGCTTTAGAAGAGGTATATCCCCAGCATCCCATCTCCAAACTTTAAGGAGAAAGGAGGAGTGCTACAAGATTATTGCAGAAAGTAACTGTAAAAACAACATCTTTAGTTGGGTTAAAACATCAGAAGAGAAGCAATTCAGGACGAAGAGAAGCAATGCAGGACTTGCGCAGATGGACCAACTCGAGCAAAGCTGAGTAAATGCCGCAGAATATTTGGTGTTAGTATTAATTTGGCATGTCTATGATAAATTTGGTTTGACCATGCATGGGTTTCCTTATATTCGCTTCCTGCAAATAATTCAGAAAAAGGTCGAGGGAAAATGAATTTGAGGCAATTCAAGCAGAGCCTAGACAGAAAGCAAAGTTCACGCTTATTACAACAGCTATCAGTTAGAAACTAACCTTGAGAGCTGCACTCAACCTGGTCACGTTTGCTGGGTGGCACACAGAGCTTATAAAAACCAATTGCTACTCTTTGTTATGAGTCCCAAACAATTTTCAGAATGACATACTTTTGAGTGACATATATGCCAAGAATGAATTATTATATTTTTTCAATACGGTACATTATTATCACATATGAACGGAACAGTTTTTAGTCGTAAACACAAACTAAGGAAATATTTGCAGAGAGAAAATGAGATAGGATATACCAAAGGAAGTAATTAACTCAGCTGCTAATTATTTTATTGTTAATAGTTTTATTTCCTTTCTTAACTGATTGTGTACTTTATCTGTACTTCGTTACTTCTGCTTGGGCAAGTTATGTCGGTCACTAGTACATAGGTCTCTGTGCGCCCGGTGAACTGGATTTTCTTTGCGGGGTGGATACAAAAGGATGCTGTGTCCCCTCCCTGTGCTAGGGCTGGCAAAGACACCTTCTCCGCCACACCAGGGATCGGCAGAGGTGCGAGCAGAGCGTGCGTCTCGGCTCAGCTCACCCTGGCCCCTCGGGCAGCGTTGCTAGCTGCGGGGTTAGCGCAGCCCGGGATGCACTGACTGGTACCGGGGCTGGAGGCAGAGCAGCTCAGCCTGAACTGGCTTCTGGGAATTTCCCTCTCTGCTACACTGAGAACAAAAATTTGCAGTTAGCAAGTTAGTAATGGATATTATTAAATACATTTAGTATATTTTACCTATTTTTATTTTATATATATATAAAACAGGTAATATACATGTAAAAATCCAATGCATACAAATTAATGTATATACTAAAACAGATCTGCTATATTCAAATATATTCTAAGTGTATGTACTAAAAATATATTTAAATAGATTTTCTCAGCTCTCCCAGGTGCAGAGAGGTGCCCAGTGGGACTTGTGATGACAATGCAGCACCTACGGTTGAGCGAGCCCCTTGCCTGCATGGTTAGACAGATACAAGTTTTCAGACCTTGCCCTTGCAGTGCCTCGGTTTCCCAGCGTCAGTGCCAAAGCAACGCAGCTGGGGAATGCAGCAGTATTCAAACCACCTGCAGCAAATGCCAGTCTCGGTTATCCCAACTGCTATGGCCTCTTAAGGACAGGAGAAGGATGAACTTAGGCATCCTCAACTCAGGCCAGTTGGAGACTTTCTCCAGGGAGCTGGCATTAAAAGCAGCCCCCCGTTTGCTCTCCCACCCCTCCGACATACCACTCCGAATATGTGGGAGATGTACTGCATGCCGAACTGCTGGCTCTGGGGCGGCCAAAACTCGAGGAAGCTCTCCACATCAGCACGGAGCTCCTTCTTCTCCTCCTCATCAAAGCTGTCCACGTGGTTCTGCAGGTCATCAATGGAGACCAGGCAGCCCTCTGCCAGCCCGCTGCCTTCCCTCTCTATCTTCCACATGATGCGGGCAGCCAGCCTAGCCAGGAGAGAGCCCCAGGCGTTAGCACCACCACCCAGTGCAAGGATAAGGACCGAAGGGCCACGGAAATTCATTTCATGGGTGGAAAACTGTGTGCAGACAGACCGAGACAGGCTCAGCATCGGATGGCTGAGGGCTGGTCACCATCCATGGGCTTTTGAAGGAAAGGGAGACAGATGCAGGGTTTTGCCCCAGCATCTATGTTCTCAGCTGGAGAAGTGCCATAGACTCCCAGTTCCCCAGGCCTCCACAGCAGCTCTCATTTCCTTGGGGATTCCTCTCATTTTCTTCTAATGAACAGAGCTGGGATATGAATCCAAATCAATGTATTCTGTAGACAAATTGGGAAGAGCGCATCTCCTCTTCCACTTTTCCATCTACTCCTCACTTTCCCACACATCCTAAACCACCCTGGGTGGATTTGCCTCACCACATTCAGCTGCAGTAGAGTTTCTGGGGTCCAGCACTGAAAAAAAAAAGCAGGAGCACAACCCCCTCACACCCAGATGCTCCTCCAGGTCCCGATCCCATCGGCTCAGGGATGCTCCTGGCCTGTCCCAAACCATCTCCCACCTCCACCCTGTCCAAACCACCTTCCGGAGGGATGCCCTGTCCTCTCCCACCATCCCCAGGCTGCCAGCTCTCACCTGATGTTTTCAGTGGGTGCCTTGCCATGCTTCTTGATGGCAGAGCACTCATTTTTGTGGTTCAGCCAAGCCGCTCTCTGGCAGGTCCGGTCACAGTAGTAGGCGAACTTGCACTGGCCGCAGCGGTGGAGCCTCTCCTGCCGTTTGAAGCAGGTGTGACAGATGACATGTGTCAGGCTGGAAGGAAGAAGGACCTCACTGAAGGGCCATCTCCACCCAGTAAGGGTCCTGCCAGCTTTGCATCCCTGGGTTCCCCACACCCTCTAAGGATGGACCCTCCAAGATTTTTTGGGAGGATGGAGAAACCTCCCACCCTGTTTAATCCTTGTGCGCTTGCCCAGTGCTGTTGCTTTTCTGTTTGGCTATGCCAAAGAGACAAATATGTTGTTTAAAAGAGGCCAGCAATAAAGCATTCCCCAGCTCTCAGCCCTCTTGTCTGCAGCTCATCTGTTCCTCCTCAGCATCGCCGCTGTTAATAAGATTTTCAGTCTGTTTTCATTTTCTGTCTGGCCCACGCTGAAGCATCAGCCACCCATTTGCTGTGCAGAAAGCAGATGCCTAATGAGTCTATAGCTCAGGCGAGCATGAAGAAGAAAAAGCAAAGAGCCAGCCTGAGAGCTTCACCTGCCTGCAAAGCCTCTGAATTTGGCTGAAGTGAAACCCCTCCTGAGCACTAAGGCTTTTCTGGGCCCCTCGTGGGCCAGGTCACAAAATGGAGCAGCAGCCACCATCATGCCCAAGAGACTTAGGAAAACGTTGGGTGAGAGGGACCAAATGGGAGCATGGCTCTGAGCCGTCCTAACTGCTCTCCTAAGCTTTCCTTAGGCACAGGCGCGCTGTGGGGATACAAATATACATCTGAAATGCTCTGCTAGTGAGCAGACCAGAGGTGTATCACAATGAAGAAGTCTGATAGATTAAAGCAGTTGCATAGGGAAACCCTGTGTTTGTGCTGTTTGAAACCAAGATAACGTTTCCACAGATTAAAAAGCAGCTTTGCTTGTCACTTCTTTTTGCCACTGGGCCAAAGGTGTAGCTGTACTGGAGGCATTGCACTTGGCAATTGTGGCACTGTGACAGAAATGACATGAGGAAACCAAGAAAACTGCCTCCTTCAAGGTAGATCTCATCACAGAGTGGTTTATTTCTTCTCCTCCTTCCTTCAGTCGCGGCACATGTCTCCTGGCTGTCTGCCTTCAGGAGACAGCAGCACAGAGCCCCAGGCTGGATGGGTTTGGGGCTCTCATGGTTGCAGTGACTTGAGACAGATGCTTAGCGTGGATTAGTGAAGGTCTGAGGGACCAGGGCAGGCTCCCAGCCTTTCAGCAGACCCCCAAGCATGAATGCCAAGGCATGAATGGATTTTCAGCTGCCCAAGGGTGGACAAAGAACACCAAACAGCTGAAGGCAGAGGAAAGATGAACTCTTGAGCTTGCAGGAGCACTGGCTGGGGTAGGACATGGGGCGAGCTGGCTGAAATGCCAAGCCTAGGCAGCAGTACTTGCATTTATGACCACCATAAAATTTGATTAATAAATCCAGGGGTTCTTTCATCTTCACAAGGCTGGTATGTTGCTGAGCTGAGAACATCAATGAGTTGGTGCTGGTTGGTGGCCCAGAATACACCACCCAGGGGGGTGTTGTTAAACATTACGGGTACTGAGCACAGTGTCTGATGTGAGGATGTGCTCTGCTATCAGGGCGTGAAGTTTAGTCCGGCGTCAGCTTTAGCACTGTGCTCTTTAGGCCACTTAAAGCCTTCTTGCAGACAGGCTAGCGATGCAGATTTCTCCTCCAAATCCAAAAGCCTGACGTGTCTTTCTCTGGTGCCAGCAGCAGTAAGTGCTGCTCACTGTCTATTCCTGCTCCTGGCTCTGCGGCTTAACTAGTTGAGAGGTTACTGCGAGTTTGATGGTCATGGGATAACTGGGAAACACCTTTCAAAAGGAGCAGGTTGCTTCTTTGGGAGGGTTCCAAACAGGATTTCCAAGCAGCATCCTACAATTGTATGTATGCAACCATAACCAAGGCTGCGGGAGGAATGCATCAGACGATACTGGTGAAGAAGTCTAACTTCACATCCTCCCTCCGAGAGTGTCCGGTGTCCCAGACCAAGGGGAAACCTCCCCCATGTGCCCCTTTCACATGTCCAGCTGCTTGCTCCAGGGTCTTGCTTCATTGGGAAGAAGGGGAAGACACTTTGGTCTCCTGCCCAAACAACTTTGGGACTTTCCCCTTGCTGTTAGAGAAGGCTTTTCACTGCCTGATTTGGTGCCCCCAGCTGTCTGTTTCTCCAGGCAACCAACCACTTTATCTGTGCCTCCAGCCAGGCTTGACAGTATGGGAAAATTTAAATTCCCATCACTTAGACACTGCCGGCCCCAGGAGGGAGGTTCTCATTGCAAAAAAGCTCACTGACCACAAAGGCTTCATTACCAAGGGAACATCCACAGCCCATAGTGGGGAAACTGAGGCACAAGGAAATAAAAAATGTATTGATGATCACACAGGGAGGCTGTGCCACAGGCTGGAATCAGACCCACAGCCCCAGAATCCCCAGCCCCAAGACTGTCCTGCCTTTCCACTATACCGATATATATACAAACATAGGTATGCATATTTATTTCTATCACAGTACACTTAAAATGCACTTTCTTTCCTCTGGCACTATTGCATGAGCTGCTGACACAATCCACCCTGTGCCTTGGCTCTTGCAGGATGAAGAGGGCCATTGATTTAAAGCAGAGAGCCATTGATTTAAAGCAGAACGACCTGCAGCAGAGAAAACCACGTGCAAAAATGAGGTTTGGAAAATGACAGTGAGCAGTGCTGGCACACAGGAGGGAGCCTGACGCAAGGTGAGCAGCCGGGATGGGGCAGGGGAGAGCATGTGTCCAGGAAGAGGGATGCAGCCAGCTCCATTAAGTCAAATGAAAGAGCTGGGAGCTGGTGAGAAATGCGAGGCTGTGCTCTGTCAGCTGTCAAGTCAGAGGGGCAGAGAAGTGCAAAAGAGATTACACTCCTTGTAAGGCAAAGGAGAGCCAGAAAGCTGATAAAACCCACGTGGTTATGTCGTGCTGGGAAGCACGGGGAGATATCTCGTGCAGGGAATGGGGCTCCCTCCTACCGCCTGCGTGCTTTGAGGGCAGTCAGAAAGCAAAAAGGCAGTTAAAGTAGTTTCCCTGTAAAGAGGAATGACAGGTCAGAGGGGAATATGGTGCAGCAAAACCCGAGTCCTGAAACAGGGGTTTGTCTCCCCACAGCTTGCTCTCTGAGAACAGAAAAATACTGAAATGTTGGCTTTGCATTTTGCTGTTTATCGCATAGGGTGTGCAGAGTTTCCAAAGCAAACCCAGCTGGTGGAACTTACCACCAGCACTGGAAAGCCCTTGTTTCTACGGAGGTGCAGAAATGCGCAAAAAAAAAGTTATACGAGACTTCCCGAGGAGGTGAAGGAACAGTTCATGTGGCATTGAAACTGCAGACATGATTGCTCATAGGTAATCTGACTGGCAGGTATAAGAAATACCACATCTCTCACAAAACCCTCGTGGGATCCTCCATGCTCAGAAATGGTTTAAAAGAAGACTGGATTTATCAATAATGTGTGATAACAGGACTCCAGAGGCTCGGGCTCAACTCTTGGCACAGTAAAAAAATCAGAAGACACAAATATTTGAGATCTATTGCCTAAATCTTCAACAAACATTGCTTGAGCACTGCCTGACCCTGCAAGCACCTAAATCCCCCAGGTGCCTCTAGGCAGTCATGCTAACTCCTGCCATCCCAGAGGTGCTCAGAGCTGGACGCCCCGAACAGGGATGGCAAAGTGGGGCTCTCCCTTGGCCCCAGGGCTGGACCTTACGCCAGGCTCTGATGCCATCTGTCCTGGAGGTAGGCAACACCAAGGACACCAAAGGCTTGCTGTGGTCCACAGTCTCCCCTGTCATTCCCTCTTCAATGGTTAAGGTCCCACAAGGGCAGGGGGAGCAGCAGGTTAAACCCAAGTGTCTCAGCCTGTGGAAATCACTGATCTACAAAGACTTCTCTGTCTGGCCTAGAAAGTGTTTAACACAACCCAAAATGGCTCCAGGTGGCCTGGATGGAGCTTTCTCTCCCTGTAAAGAGAGCAGTCCATGCCCCTGTGGCCAGGATGCTGCATGGCCAGGCAGCACTGAAGGTTTCTGAAGAGATGTGTGGTACCTACGCAGGAGCACTGGAGGTTTGAACCCTTGGTGCTTGGCTTCCCTTGTTTTAACACGGGGACAATACAACTGCTTTCTGCGGCGTCTATGTACACCATGGCCTCTGGGGTGATCTCTGGCCATTCATTCACTGCCATCTTCCACACATAGTGAGAACTTCTTTTTTTCACCCTGCCCAAAAGCAGGATCTTCATTAGCACAGTGATTTCTCCAGGCCATCCAAGCCTTGCCAGGTCAGGGATTTAGGACTGACTTGGAGGGCAGGTGCCACTGACTGACTCATTAAATGACTTTCTGGGGAGTCTCAGGTTTCCTTGGCCTCTCATCCAAGCATCAACCAAGCTCAACTCTCAGGGGCTCATGAGCTCTGACGTTACGTGGATGAGATGCACAACTACTACTAATCCTGGATGTAGCTACAGTCACAAAGCAATGATTCAATGTGCCAGCCAACAAATGCAAGAGGTGACAGAGCACTGTCAGCTAAACTATGGCTCCTGCAAGCACGGCTCTCAGTGAATGCAGAAGAAACAAATAGCTCTTGTGAGTGCTTGGATTGGATTCAGATGGATTGAGATCTGTTGGACCTGCCAGGACAGAAGGCTGAGCACTGCCACAGGAAATATATTAACCTCATCTCTGAGACATGCACAACCCAAATGTCTGCCAATCATTTCCCATCCAGCACCCACAGCATCTCATTCACTGATCGGGAAAAGCAAGGTGACATAGCTGTAGTGCAAAGGAATAAAAGAAGGATTTCATTGAATAGCTAATGGACATGGTGAGAAGCTTACAAACTATTTAATACAAGTTTATGCTGTTCTGTACGTGACAGATGACACACACAGACAACCTAACTTACACCTAAGTCCACCTGCTTCATATTTATTATTGGCTGGCTAAGCATCTCTCTCCTCAACGTCCTACAGAGGACAGCATAAGAATAGACTGAGATGTAGGCAAAGTCCA